ATCCAAAGGAAAGCTAGATCTAATACAGATCTGAAGTTTGGAGGGAGAAAAGAGGCTTGTAAAAAAAAAGAAAATCAAAATTAGAGGGAGGGGGATGGCCGGCCCTAGAAAGAGAGGAAGAAAAAAAAGAAAAAAGAAAAAAAGAACCCCTTTTATAGCCTTGAACCAGATCTGGCTGGACCAGACCAGACCGGGCTAAACCAGACCAAGTCAGATTGGACCAGAATGGATCAGAATGGACCAGAATGAGCCAGAATGAGCCAGAATAAGCCAAATTGAGCCTGGCTGGACCAGACCAGACCAGAATGAGCCAAATTGAGCCAGATTGAACCAGAATGAGCCAGTCTGAGCCAAATTGAACCAGTTTGAACCAAATTTGAACCAGAATTCAAATTGGAGCTGAATTAAGCATTGAAACGACTTTTGATCAACCTACGGTTCAGTCCTTCACCTATTTAACCCCTCTACCATATATTTGGAAGGGTCGGAGAGATTTTTGAACCCAAATACTGCCTTTTTGGCACATTTTTTGGGCCGGTTCAGATTATTCGAACCTAAACCGGTTCAACTCATTTGGATACGGAAATACTCCAATAAGGTATACGAGTATAAACTATTCCCTCCTCTTTGTTGAGAAGTTTCTGGAGAATATTTTTTATTCTTAAGGATAACTCAACATAACTCCCAGGAGTGTATGAGTATAAACTAGACCTCCCCGCTCCAACTCCTTAAGAGCTTAAACTGTGTAGACTCCAAAATACTTACGAGTGTAAACTGTGTTAAACGCCGGACAACGCGTCGCAATGAAAATTCAAAGCCGTCAAACGATGGTCAATTCCATGTTGAAGCAACTAACTCGAGCTAAAAAGCCAGGAAATCAAGAATCGACTTCAAATTCAAAATTCCGACAACGGTCAGACAATAAATGTAGCACCGGAACCCTCTCAAGCATTCGACAAAGCACCGAATAGCCTGGAGGATTGAAGGAATCGAGAATAGAAGCTATTCCAAGAGCCCGTTACACCGATTGAAGGTTGGGACAGTCATATCCAAAGTATTCCAGACTCCTCTATAAAAGAACGAGACTGGAAAACTTTGGAGGGGGTATCTGTAGGCATATAAAATTGCTTATAGGTCCCTTAACACGGCTCAACACGAACTAATGAACCATCGGGCGACGTATCTAAGCACGAACGTCAGTCCACAACACCGAAGCCAAGTGACACGCAACGAAGCGGATTAACAAGGCTACGAAGCTGACGAACCGCACGTGAACGACGGGCATGAGCCGAGCCACCCTGAGGTGGCCGCCCAGATCTGTGCCAAATGCACAGATCTGGTTGCCTATAAATAGGCGGGGTCATTCATCATTTAGGAGGACTTTTGGAAGAACTTTTGGAGAGCCGAAACTCTGCCGGATTAAGACCTCATCTTGGAGTTTTTGAAGGCTTGAAGACTTGGACGTCCAGATCTGATTCCCGGCAAGCACCCGCATCACAAAAGGCAGGAGTTCGAGGGGATCGAGATCTCAGATCTACGTTGTTACACTCCGGATCAAAGCTTGGTCTTTGATCCCGAGATTCGAGCGATTGTTTCCTTGGTGAAATAATCCCTCCGGCTATTATTTCCTTAGTGAAATAATACCCGTTATACTGCGTAGATCTGTTCGGATCTAGATCGCGCGGTGGTCCACGGCAAACAACCCCGGCGCAGGCAAACAACCCACCCAAGCGAGTGACCGAATAACAGGAGCTCGCGATTTGTTCGACGAAAGAAAAAAAGTTGTAATTTTTAATTTTCTTTATTTTTGATTTTCATTGTAACCGGATCTAAAAAAAGACCGGATCTTCTGTAACCGAAAAACTGTTATTCAAGATAGCAATGGAATCAATGAAGAAAGCAACGATTTTCCGAGCGAACAACATGAACTGAGTTAGAACTAACACAGTTCTGTTAGAACTAACATGAACCGAGTTAGAACTAACACGGTTCGTGTTTAGTTCTAATACACAGCTAGAACTAACATGAACCGAGTTAGAACTAACACAGCTAGAACTAACATGAACCGAGTTAGAACTAACACAGTTCTAGCTGTGTATTAGAACTAAACACAAACTGTGTTAGTTCTAAGTCGGTTCACGTTAGTTCTAGCACGAACTGCGTTAGTTCTAACTCGGTTCACGTTAGTTCTAGCACGAACTGCGTTAGTTCTAACTCGGTTCATGTTAGTTTTAGCTGTGTTAGGTCTAATAAAAGTTCATGTTAAGTTTAATTTCATGTTAGCTCTCATAAAAATTCATGTTAGGTCTAATTTTATGTTAGGTCTAATAAAAGTTTGTATTAGGTCTAATAAAAGTTCGTGTTAGGTCTAATAAAAGTTCATGTTAAGTCTAATTGGAGTTCATGTTAGTTCTATTTCGTATTCGTGTTAGTTCTAATTCATGTTAGGTCTAATTGGGTTCATGTTAGTTCTAACTCAGTTCATGTTAGTTCTAACTCGGTTCCTGTTAGTTCTAAATGGTTACTTCTAATTTAGAACTAACATGAACTGAGTTAGAACTAACATGACCCCAATTAGACCTAACATGAGTTAAAACTAATTTCAATAAAAAAACAAAACTAGAACCCAATGAATACATCCAACATTCCAGATACTAGGCATATATCAAAATCAAAACCTAAAAAAAATCTGCAAGAACCCAGAATGTTGAGTCATTTGGCAAAATTAAAAACAAATGAATAGAAAGAAAGGAATACAATGATTGAGCTTTATGAAGAGAAAACAGAGGGCCAACCTACAAACTACTGAAGCAGGAGGAAATAAATGGTGAAACACAAAATCCGAGCATCGAGGAATGGCATAAGAGTTTTAGAAAGGAGGGGGAAAAAGAACAAGTAAAAAAACCAACATGTTACATGCAGAAGCTTAACACTCTCCCACGAGCTATAAATGCTACAGGTTGACAACACTTTGAAAGATAAAGACAGTTCCATGGCTTCACCATATTTTTCCTCACGACTGACAGATCGGACTCTGGGGGCGCTGGAACCATCAGAGGGGGTACCAGAGGGAGGCGAGCCCGCGGGACCGACGTCGGGGCAGCGCGCCCTGGGGTGGGGTTTTTTTTGGTGGGACGTGGTAGGTGGCGGGTTTGGGATGGGTGGCGGCGCCGGGGGCCTGGGCGGAGGCGATGACGGCGAGGGCCAGGGCAACGAGCTTGAGAAAGCCCTTGGTTTTAGAGAGAGAGAGATGAGATGAGAGCTCGTAAGAGAGAGAGAGCTGGAGTTTGAGGGATTGAGGAGAGGGGATAAGGACATTTTGAGGATTTTTACTTAGTTGGCATATAATTAATGCTAAAAGAGAGCTGCAACATAAGATGTCACATTTTAAAAGGTTGAACCACATGAGGAAAAAGTAAAAGGACGGCAACACCTGTGCAGCACCTGAAGTTAGTGTCTTTGTGGCCTTAACACATTTTTCCTTTTTTTTAATTAAAAAGGGGAGTGATAATGTGGATTCGCTTTTCCTATATTGCCCCTGGGGGTTCCCTCCCCGCGAGGCCCCCCTCCCGCCTGTCCCACATTCCGCTGCTACAGCTCTCTCCTAGATCTCCGGAGAAATAAAATCGCTGCCTATTTCCGTCGAACCTTGGTACGTAATTTGAACAGAATCCCTCCTTTACGAACTCACTAGTATCAATCCGCTTGTTGAGTGCTTTGATTTGTACATCAAATTAGGATTGGTCTTGCGTCTTAATTTTATTCTATTTTTCACTCTTACCAGGTTTTGAAGCAACTAAATAATAAGACACAACCACCACCACAAGTAGTGAAGTTGACAATTGACAAATTTTTACACTATTAAGTTTGAAACAACCAATTATAATAAGATGCAACTTCAGCCGAAAATACGGTAGAATGAAGAATGCCATTGAGCTTCAAAACTTTACTGTAGCGCGAAATTGCTTGCTGACGTTCGGAATCTACCGCAGCATCAAAAACCACACACAAGTAAGCCTACAAACATTCGTACAGAAGCTTTTTAACTCATTCCTTTTATAGTAGCATCTTAAGAGTTCATAATAATAATGATAGCGATCTCTCACACTCTGCTTGCTTGATCAGTAACTACTTCTTTGCATGCTATACATCTATTGGTTTTCTTTTACAACAACATTCATTACGTACAGAAGCAAGCAACCCACCAGCTAGCCGAGCGTAGCAGTAAACAAGGGACACGTGTCAAATCATCCTGCCTCCAGATATGATTTTCTACATTCCTCTCAGTTTACTAATCACGGGGACCATCAAAAGACTGGCTTTTCCTCAAATTCCAATGGAGGCCTTCGTGGATGCTTCGAAGGAAGTCGTTGGTGGAGTCGACTTGGCAAGCAGTGGGCACCGGCCACGGTGCAATGCTGCAGATGAGAGCGTCGCCCGGAGCCAATTGTTTTCTGTCTTTGCCATCAAATGATGCCCATGCCTGTCCTCTGCTGTTGAATGGCACTTGAACCCTAATTGCCACGTACTCTGGCAGTATCAGAGGTCGGAACGATAGAGAGTGTGGGCAAATTGGTGTGAAGAGGATTCCGGGAACCTGCAACGTGATGGGTCTTAGATGCATGGTCTGGATGGTATTTAACTTTGCATTGTGAAATTTTAGCAAGGCATCTTGCAGTTTCAATCAATACGTAGGACTTCAATTGATTCTCCCAGTTAATTAAATGGAAGGCATAAATATTACCAACTGAACTAGACAGCAAAAACACAGAAGCCTCAGCATCTTGGTCAACATTTGGTTTTCATCACAACAACATTGGACAGCCTAACTTAGTAACTTTCTTCCTGGTCCACAGTACGATCACTTTATTGTTTGGACTTAAAAAGTGTAAACGTCGTATTGAATAGAATCTTAGGAACATCAAGAGTGAATATTTCGTATTATATAGGAGATAATGTAATTAAATATATTATGAACATCGAGAGTGAATAGTTCCTATTATATAGGAGATAATGTAATTTAGTACATTACCCCACTGCTTGAGATTAGAAAAGGATGCCATACAAAATAACATGGGTTATCCAGGCTTGGTAAGCCCAGGAATTCAGCTCAGAACGATATGACTCTAGTTTGTCCTATCCCTTAGGAATTTCTTTCCATTTTCCAAGAAGCAACCATTTTGACAGGATTAAGATGGATCTATGTATTAATTGTATATGCCTGTATAAGTAATCAAGACGTAATAACTCTTCCTAATGATTTAATTGTTCGGTAAAAGAAAATAAAACAAACATGATTTCCAGAAATCGATAAGAGATGGAAACATGCCTGTGGATGAACCATTGATCCTCCAGCTGCCAGTGAGTATGCTGTGCTTCCGGAAGTTGTTGATAAAATCAATCCATCTCCTTGTACACATGTGACAAAGGAGTTATCACAATAGCACTCCAGATAAGTGAGGTACGATGATATTCCACGGTCTATAGTTACTTCATTTAGGACTAGAATGGGATCCTCAGTCTCCAGTTCATTCTTAGCTGCATCTCGAATAACATGGCATTGCAGACGATTACGCAAAGTAATGCTAATAGGTCCCTTGAATATCGAATCTAAGGAGTCCCGATAATGTTCACTATCTGATAGCCATTAAAGATCACTACAAAATTTATAAACCGGAACAACTACCATATTCTATGACATTAAAAGAATCCTTCAACAGCCTCGTACAAATGAAAATTTATAATTTACCTAAAGAACGAGAGGGTAAAACTTCAATAAGAACATAGAATTTGACATCTAAGTAAGCCAATTGATAAGGAAGGGAAGTCTAAATATGAGCTTGTGTTTTGAATTGAGATTTGAAAGCAAGTACCAACGGCAGGCTCAAATTGTCAGTTGAACACGGATCAACTGTCCTCACTAGACAAAAAAAAAACCAACATATATTACAATTTGAAGATTAACATACTTCATCTTGTTCTACTGATATTCCCGTCAGTGACCTTTCGCATTTAATTATTTTATGAACATGCACTTTACAGATAACAACTAATTATGGATTTTAAGGAATTACCCCATGATTCACTTACTAACAATGTAGAAGATAGAACTATCCCCAAATTATTCTTCTCAACACCATTTCAGAAAGAACGCAATAACATCACTCGATTAAATGAAGTGAGCAAGTAAAGAGGTATGCTTTCTGACTAAAGGAAAGTTTAAGCCTACATTACCAGAAAACACGGGAACCCCACCTCTATCTGTAATTCGGATTGAACACTCAAAATTAGGGAATGCTAACAAATAGGAAAGATTATATCAAGGTTCTGAATCTTCAAAAAACATGATAGACTCGTGTCTTTGACAAAATTTAGACAAACATGCACAAATGTTTTCAATTTCATTGCGACTAATTAAAACACGGAAAGAGACAGAGAGTGGGTTATAAGGAACAATACACGTGACATAAGGCCTGTCTATCAATAATTTCACTCAAAGCATGTGCAGACAATAAAAGTAGATTGCAGTCGTAAGTGGAAAACACAGCAGCATGTACTTCATCATGTAAATATGACATGTACATCTATTAACAAACAGAACTGAACTTCCCCCACATAAACAAGAAATAGTTATGCAGGAACAATATTGCTTTAGATGAAAAAAAAATCAACTAAATAAGTTTTCAGAGCAATAGAATATATAAATGAGAGGATACGGAAAGGGGTCATAAATCCCAACGATCCCAAGGAAAATGAGATAACAGGAGGGACTGGTCCTTTGAACATAGATGCAGCCTGTAGATAAAAAAAATTTAAAATTTTTATTAAAAAAAAAGAAACAACAAGTTAATCTACAGCGGGAGTTTGTATCAAGGACATTCTTCAGAAGCACGATGCTACTATGAATGCCGTTAACCTGAACTACTAATTAAACCTTCAAATGACAGTGCAACATTAAGACCAAACACATTAAGACCAAACACGACTAGCATACACACAGAGGGAAGACATATTTAGCTAATGAAAAACACAAGCTAATAAGTTGAACATGACAAGTCAAAAATTATAATCATGCAATTGTGTATTAAAAATGCAGCAATGCATCACTAAAGCACATGAAAGTTCAACATCAATGACCTTTTAGCAGAGCACATGAAAGTCTATGCTTATAGTAAGAAGACTTGGTTTTCTGAAGTGTGGAAATTTAATTCATGGTTTCTGTACTTTTTATGTTTTAAAGTAATCAAAATATGTCTCATATGTTTAAACTTCAAACTCTAAAATGAATACTAATGGTTCTAAATTTAGAAATTCCAATAATTATAAGGAAAAGATAAGGTTTAAGCTTCAAAGTTGGAAGAATCTCTCTCAAGGATCTTGCCATGCATACAAAGAAAAACCTCACAAATCCATACACCAGTAGGCAACGTTAGAGATGTTCATTTGTGTGCTTTAGTGGAAGAAATACTGAACGTATGTTTCTAGAAACCGAAATCGAAAGTAGGTTTATTTTCTTATCTTTAAAACTATTTCTTATTCATCTGAAATGCCTACCCGATGAGTGACATACGAATTCAATAAATCCGATGTGTGGGTTTCAGATACAGCCAAAATTTCAGGGTGTGTTTGGCAACTTCACGCTAATCCGGTTAAAGCCTTAACCGGATTGGGATTTAACAATGTTGGGGTGGTTCAAAGATATCCTAGATAAGGGCCTATTTTCTTGAACTAAAAATCTAGTCCAATCTTGTGCACTCTACTGTCACGCCCCCAGAACAGCAGCAGGGGAAAAAATAAGCAAGGATTACGTGAGCGGACACCCGTATATGAAACAAGTATTACACACGTGTCAACCCTGGACACATCAATCACATAGCATTTCTAAAAATTAGTACTTGCCAGTGATAGAGTTCAGAGAAAAACTACATATTATAGGCCTGAATAGTCTTAAACGATGTTAGTTTACCAGATCATAACATTTGACTCAGCTACACTAAACAACAATAAGGTGGATCCAAGATATGGGCAAATTACTTGGCCACCAATATCCAGCTTGTATTCGTAGCCAGGAAGACCATGAAAAGCGTTGAAAGGCATGGTTGAGCTAAAATAAGTTTTTTTTCAAACACAATTTTAAGTCCTTAATCTAGTTAACTCGATAAACCGGACCCGGTTAACAGGCAAGTCGCCAAACAGGCCCTCAGTTTCAAGTTACATCCCCAGTTAAAAAATTGAGTCCGAGTTTCACGGAGCTTTATTACAGTTGAAATATATGAGAAACCCTAATCTTATTAATGAAATAACATGGGCTTATATAGGCCCCCTACAAATACATCTTACAAATAACCCCTTAACTATTCTAATATGTCAACACTCCTCCTCAAGATGGGAGAAAGATATCCACTAAGCCCATCTTGTCACATCATCTAACCATATCTACTGAGCTAAGTCCCTTAGTCAGACAATCTGCTGCCTGGTCTTTAGTTGAAACATGACTTAACTCCAGTAATCCACTGTCCAACTTCTCTTTGATGAAGAACCTATCGATCTCGATGTGTTTGGTTCTATCATGCTGCACTGGGTTATTAGCGATACTGATGGCTGACTTGTTATCACACCACAGCTTCATTTTTGCTCCTTGATCCAGTTTCAGCTCCACCAACATACTCTTCAAATATCTCAGAATCTGATACACAGCGTCCATATGACCCTTCCTCAGATCGTGCATGTAGCGACTCACCACGCTCACTGCAAAAGAGATATCCAGCGTCCATATGACCCTTCCTCAGATCGTGCATGTAGCGACTCACCACGCTCACTGCAAAAGAGATATCAGGACGTGTGTGACTCAAATAGATTAACCTTCCCACCAGCCTCTGGTATCTGTCACGATCAACTGGTTCTCCAGCCTCAGCACCTAGCTTGAACTTCTGGTCGATCGGTGTAGTTGCAGGTTTGCACCCTAACATCCCTGTCTCTTTGAGAAGATCCAGTGCATACTTTCTCTGGGATAGGACGATTCCCTCCGCTCCTCGAGCTATCTCTATTCCAAGAAAGTATCGAAGCAAACCAAGATCTTTCACCTCGAATTCCTTACCCAGTCTTACTTTGAGTTGGGCAATCACCTTCTCATCATCTCCTGTAATAATCATATCATCCACATATACCGCCAGCATGGTAATGTGGCCTCCACTTCGTCGAAAGAACACGGTATGGTCGGCGTTGATCTGCTGGTACCTCATACCAATCATAGCCCTCCTGAATCTGTCAAACCAAGCACGAGGAGACTGCTTCAGCCCATAGAGAGACTTCTTCAATCTGCAGACCTTTCTCACTGTCTGATCTGTACCGAATCCTGGTGGTATCTCCATGTATATCTCCTCCACTAGATCTCCATGAAGAAATGCATTCTTCACATCTAGTTGGTGTAGCTTCCATTCACCATTTACTGCTAGAGAGATTAAGGTCCGAACAACGCTCATCTTCGCCACCAGTGCAAAAGTCTCATCATAATCGATACCATGTGTCTGACTATATCCTTTTGCCATCAGACGAGCCTTGTAGCGCTCAACTTGTCCATCTGGATTCTGCTTCACAGTAAAGACCCACTTGCACCCAACTGCTCTCTTCCCTTCTGGTAATTTTACTAGCTCCCAAGTGCGGTTCTTCTTAAGATCTCCTAGCTCCTCATGCATTGCTGCTTTCCACTTTGGGTCCTTCTTAGCAACCTGCCAATTGTTAGGTACAGTAACAGAGTCCAATGATGCAATGAATGCTCCATGTGCAGGGTGGATATTAGAATATGATATAAATTGGGCAAGATCCCAACCATATCTATCGGGAGGATGTCCCGCATTACTGCGAGTAGTCCTCCGTACTGATATTGGTGTGGGAGGAGGAATCTGATGGTGGTGTAGGTGTCTCAGGAGTCGGGACAGGCGTTGATAAGGGACCTGGCACTAGTGGCACTGTAGGTACTGTTTCCGTAATTTGCTTCCCCTTCCTACTATATGTAAGTAGCTCCCCCTGAACCGTGGGCCTAACACCTCTTGTCTTCTTATCCTCTTCTTCTTTATTCTCCTGCTCCTCCTCAACCAATTCTCCTTCCCAAGGAATCGTTAGAGAAATCGATTTCTCCACATTATTCTTTACATTATTCATCTGTCTCTCACCATTCTCCCCTTTCTCGCCTCATACTTCCAGTATTGGGCGAGTCACCAACGGATGAGGGTATCTTCTGTGTGTAATATGGCTCAAATTCACGAAAGTACACATCCATGCTCACGAACAGCCTTTTCTCCACCGGGCTCCAACAAACATATCCCTTTTGAGTAGCAGAATATCCCACAAAAATACACTTCACCGCTCTAGGGGCAAGCTTCCCGACGGATGGTCTGTTATCCTTCACAAAACACACACAGCCAAATACCTTCAGTGGAAGAATCCCACCATTATCTCCTTTCAATGTCTCACACGGAGACTTCCAATCCAGTACTCTCGAGGGCATTCTGTTGATCAGCGCCGCTGCAGTCAACACTGCTTGCCCCCACAATATTTCTGAGACATTCATGGAGATCATCATACTTCTAGCAATCTCTAAAAGATGTCTGTTCTTCCTTTCCGCTACCTCATTCTGAGCTGGTGTGTATGGACATGTAGTCTGGTGTTGTATTCCCTGAGATGACAAGTATTCTCCAAACACTCTGTTGGTGTACTCTGTCCCATTATCAGATCTCAATACCTTCACCACTGCTCCATATTGAGTCTGAACATTCCTATGAAAGTTTTGGAAGCACCCAAACACTTCACTCTTATTCTTCATCAAGTATAACCAAGTCACACGAGAGAAACAATCAATAAATGTAACAAATACTTGTATCCATTCATAGAACTTGTGGAACATGGCCCCCACACATCTGAATGTATCATATCAAATGCATGAGAACTCCTATGATCAGAACTAACATAAGAGCTTCTAGTAAGCTTTCCCAACTTACATGCATCACACACAAGTTTCTCTTTATTTACTTTCTCAAATAAAGATGGATACAACCTACTTAAAACACCGAAAGAAGTATGTCCCAAGCGTTTGTGATGAAGCATCAACACACTCTCAGCACTCATCTCAGATCCTACTCCTGCTCTCTCTACCATTGACACCAAAGCTGAATCTAGCCCTTCACGATCCAGATACCACAGTCCATTACGCCATGTGCCAGTCCCAAGTCTCCGTCCTGTCCCCTTCTCCTGGAAAATCACCTTGGGAATATCAAAAAAAATAATACATTTTAGTTGGAGGATGATAGAACTAATGGATAAAAGATTGATTGAAAAGAAAGGAGCATGCAAAACATTGGACAAAGTTACAGAACCAGTACAATCGACTGTACCCTTACCAACCACCGGCTGAAATGTACCATCAGCTATTTGAATACTATCAGGCGATGTTAAGTGAGTATATGATGAGAACTCACTAGCATTACCTGTCACATGGCGAGACGCACCGGAGTTGACTATCCACTCTGATGATCTGTTGGGAGACATAGAAGCAAAAGCATGTATGTCATCAGTACCTTTGGTCGGATGAGCATAAGTAGCAGTGTTGCCTCTGGCGAAGAATGAAGTGGATGCCTCCTCAGTCCCACTCCTCAAGTCTCCATCCCCTGCTACTTGCTGTTTTCTCCTGAGTATTATCAGGAGAGCACGATCCTCCTCTGTAAAGACCACCTCAGCTTCTTCTTCCTCTGCTATCGTCAGATTCGCCCGATTCCTTGCTCCTCTTCCACCTCGTCGACCCCCACGACCATGATCACGACCTCCGAATTGTCCACGTCCACCCGAATCTCCTTCCTTGGGTGGTTTGGTGCAAGCATGCCTTAGATGACCCACCGCACCGCAGTTGTAGCACTGTCGAGTTTCTCCCCTAGATCCAGTGTTGCTAGAGGCTGCTAGTGCTGACTTCACCACAGGAAGTCCACATGTCCCCGTCTGCAGCCGAATGCGAGTCTCCTCCTGGATCATAGCAGAGACAGCCTCCTCAAACGTGGGAATCTTCGGCTGAGCTAGCAGCAATGCAATTCGCTGAGCGAACTCTGATGTCAATCCTTTGAGAAACACCATAGTCCTCTCCTGTAGAAAAGCATCCCGTTCTTTACATCCAGGGTCCTTGCAGCTCGCCCGAGGTGAGAAGTGATCATAATCTAGCCACAGCCGTTCCAGCTCTGTGGCATACTCATGTACAGTCCTATCTCCCTGGACTGTGGCGTCGATCTCACCCTTAATCTGGAACACCCTCAGGTTATTCCCCCACTCCATCATAGGTCCTTCTCAACTTTTCCCAGACGTCCTTCACCTTCTCAATGCCATCCACTGTGGCGGCGATCGATTGGACCAACGAGTTGAGGAGCCAGATGTATACCAACATATGAGTGGCCTTCCACTCATCTCTTCCCTCCGAGTCCTCCTCCGGCTCTGTCACCTCTCCTGTCAGATAACCCTCCAGATTCCTCCCTGCAAGGGTGTATCTCACCCGCCGCGACCAGCTCAGGTAAGTACTCGGTCCATCAAGCTTCAGATCGATGGTCGGAAGCTCCAACTTCTTCGATGGTTTTGTCGCGCTCTCACCAGCCGACAACGTCATTAGCTTCATCAGAGTTGACACCTCCGTGGGGTTCAACTTCTTGATGATCTCCTCCATCGAATAGGCTTCAGACCCATCGCCTGTTCACCTTCTCTTCCGACCCTTGTTGTGTGCAGTGAAAATTTTGGCAGCACCTCTGCTGCACAACAAGAGTAGGATCTCAAACAAATTCTCGTTTCTCAGAGGAAACAAGAACAAAAAACAGTTCAGATCATAACATTTGACTCAGCTACACTAAACAACAATAAGGTGGATCCAAGATATGGGCAAATTACTTGGCCACCAATATCCAGCTTGTATTCGTAGCCAGGAAGACCATGAAAAGCGTTGAAAGGCATGGTTGAGCTAAAATAAGTTTTTTTTCAAACACAATTTTAAGTCCTTAATCTAGTTAACTCGATAAACCGGACCCGGTTAACAGGCAAGTCGCCAAACAGGCCCTCAGTTTCAAGTTACATCCCCAGTTAAAAAATTGAGTCCGAGTTTCACGGAGCTTTATTACAGTTGAAATATATGAGAAACCCTAATCTTATTAATGAAATAACATGGGCTTATATAGGCCCCCTACAAATACATCTTACAAATAACCCCTTAACTATTCTAATATGTCAACAATTACTAGTAATTAACCGTAAATCCCATTACTGGTTAAGAGCCCTTGCAAATGTATAAGTTAGGTTAGAAGTCTGTGGGACAAGTGACGTATATAGAACCCAAAAGTTAGATATCTAAAGAACATGGTGTGTTTTTGTATACATATCACAACCGTAAGTTCCTTAAACCAAGTTACATAAAGAATATAAGGATGAGAGCAAGTAAAGTGCTTCAGGTAAAGACGAGACAGAGGGGGGGGGGGGAGAGAGGGAGAAGAGGGGGGGGAGAGAGAGAGAGAGAGGGAGAGAGGGGGGGGGAGGGGGGGTGGGGGGGGGGGGAGAGAGAGAGAGAGAGAGAGAGGAGCAGAAGGGGTTAAGACTGAGAATTTTAGCAAACTGAAAATACTTACCCAAAGAACAGTTCCATCTCCACCAAGAGTTATGACAAGATCAACTTTTGTATGCAGAAGCCTTATTTCGTCATCTACAACATACTGTTAATCAGTAGAAGATAGTAGAATACATGAGCTAATAATTTGAGAGTGAATAGATTGCTAGATTGTCATCTATAAAAGAACAGAATCATGGAAGAACACATAGTCATGGTTCCTATAATAAATGCCATCTCCTCCTATAAGGACAGGGAACTTTGCCAGAATTAGACTGTTCAGAATATTAAATTGGTTACTTTATAGAATATATTGGTCATTATCAGCAGAAAAGGGTTGACTCGGGGTTTAATTAGAGATTTAGCTCAAACTGCTTGCATATCAACGGAATTTTGGTGTCAGCAAAACTAAGTCTCAAAAAACATTTTGTTAAATTATTACACCGAGTTCAAGTGTCTAGGATATCAAGATAAGAGAAACTACTTGTCTTGTAATGGTTTGAAACAAAGAGAGAACAATAAATATTTAAGTTGCCCATGTGAACACGTGAAGCATGTTAACATGGGGCCCACGAAGGAGGCTTTGCGGATGAAATAATTTGGCCCACGAACCGCGAACGCGTTTTCAATTCATCAGGCTATAAATAGCCATATGTTTTTAATGCTCTAGGGTTCTGTGCGAAGGAGGCAGGCAAAGGTTTTGTGTGGCTGCGGTACAGGAGCAAACAGTGCAAGGCAGTTTTTGGTTTTCTTCTTTTTGTGGCTGCAGTTGTGGAGATTTTGTGTAGTCTCTTTTAGGGTTTTGTGCATCTCGTTGAGAGGTATTTGTGAGGGATTTGAGAGTTTGTTTGAGGGTTTAGATTGTGAGTGATTGTAAACCCTAGTTGTAATCTCTCCCTCTAATAGTAGATCTCCCCCTCCTTGCCCCGTGGACGTAGGCAATTTGCCGAACCACGTAAAAATTGGTTGTACTGCTTTTGTGTGATTTGTAATAGCTTTTAGGATCCCTCGACAGGTCAGTCCTAGAACTGATGAGAGGAAGAGCCGATATCTCACTTTGTTGAGATATTCGCTTCATATTCTTGTTTCCTTGGTGAGACGGGAATTCTTATTGCGATCTGACTCTCTTGTTGTGCTGCCGAAGTGCTGCTGACATTTCCGCTGCGCGCAACAGCCCAAACATAGTTTTGGTTGCTCCTAAAAGAAGCCTCAATCTCTAAAAATGAATCTAGCCTGAATGGTATGCTTCTGTGGAACATGTCATGTGCATCAAGATATTTTGTGGATCTATCTTGACTGAACATTTACAGTGGATATGAAAGACAAGGAAATAATTATAAGGGAGTAGGACCTGGCATATATTCTAGGTGACTTCAAGAGTCTCTGATTTACTTAGGTGCCTCTATCTTGTAATAACTTCTCAAGGCTCAAAATTCTAAATTAGGAATATGTATCTAATGGTTGATTATGTATTTAACGGTAATCCGAACAGGAGAGGGTTACATGTGGTAAAACTTTAGGTCCTTTTCCATGCATACTATTAATATTGAGGTCCCAAAGATCAGCCTCAGATGAGATACCCTTATAAAATAGAAAAAAAGGAATGCCATTTGTGATCCTCTTTCTGAAGAAGTAAAGATGATGTTATAATACAAGCATGAACTTTCAGGACTTTTTCCTCCCTCCATACGGCTTCAGCGCCAACAAATACAGTATCCAACAATCCCTCACAATCAAAGCTGTTAAAGCTCAGACATCAGGAAGCCACGGCAGTGGGCATCGTTATTGAGCTTTCATAGATCTCCATTACAGTGCATTATGCTGTAAGGCTCCTTAGAGAGAATGCTCGATTTCATTTAGATAGCATTTACTACATAGGAGGTATCTCCAGTATATGGAACCATGCGGACCATAAACATTTCATCTTTGTAGTATGTAAGCTCATGAAATGAGCATCTTAATGATTTCTAGTCAGAAAGCACAGCTGCACAAGGTCCATTGGAGGGTGCGATGCAAGATAATAGGCCAAAGCTCCCAGAATGATGCATGTTATACCATTGGGAAGCTCTTGAAAAATTAGACTTATGTGTGCTTTTATTAAATACCCAAAGGGTACCAAACAATCGAATTTATTTGCTATATTTGCTCCACGGATTATTCTTAAAAAGTTGGTAACTTTTTTTTCTCAGTTTATGCTTTTTTAACTTCACTGACTTATAAATATTGACGGCAATTTGAATGTTAATATTAAAAGATGAATGCTTTCCCAAACCGTATCTTAGACACTAGCATGCATACAAAATGTCAAAATTTCAATATCTGTATGGAACCTGGAGAAATCATACAATACTTGTTTTGCCATATGCAAAAAAGTACAACAAAAGTTGTAAAACTTACCATCTTCCCACGTCTGAACAAAGTTGTAATCCAAGGCTTCTGTGACAAGTTCAATCTTCACTCTGGGCTCAACAAAAACATTCATGCTCCTTTCTTCTTTCAGCCACCTGGATAAAATGAAAAGGATGAATTAAACTCAAGTAGAAGATTTGTGAACTTCAGTTCTAATCAGGAGACAGACACTACAAGAAAAACATATGAAACCAAGAAATAATACCTCAAAAAGCAAAAGTGACGCCAAAACAATTTGAATAGACTTTTATCTTAGAAATTTTTGCACAAAGGCATCTTAGATTTTGCTCTGCAGTGCGACAATATTACTTGCAATCAGGGTTTTTTTCTCCTATCTTAGATGTGTGTCCCTTTGCATGTTGTTCTAAGATAATATTTTAATTTCATTCACCATCATGATTGTTGAGAGAAGTGAAATTGTATGGATCCTTGCAGCAGATGTTGATAAAACTGGAATCACACATCTATCTGTTTAAAGTTTTTTTTAACATTTTTCTCGTTTCATATAAATTCTAGGGGAATATGATTCCAACTTTTCTCATATTTGATGCCTAAGAGCCGAATGCAACTCCTTATAGCAAGTCTTATCATATTATCTCCTTGTCGATGAGAATCTGAAGGCTTGGTCCTTCGTTCCATGAGCTTAAATTTGAGAATGAAACATACATCTACCTACATCCTCACAAGTCATATTTTTGCTAAGGGGCCCCCACTTGCTTTCCATTGGCCAGGAATCAAGCACCAACATGTAAAAAGTGACATTAAACTGACAACCACTCATAGACTAGGTTAATTCTTATATAACCATCCTTGAATTTTTCTCCCAATAAATAAGTATGGGAACTTACTGAATTCCGCTTGTTCATGGGAAGGTGCTAAATGCTGATGTCATAGAATGCAATAAGCTTCTAACAAATAGTCGTGATATTAGGAATGTTAAGTTCTTCGGTGTAAAGAGTTACCACCGAAGTTGCATAGGTACGGATCACTGTTATAAATAACGGTAAATAGCCCCGCAATAGCGCCGCTAATAGCGTTAGTGATCCCTTCCCGCTACGCTATCGCCTAATAGCGGTGACATATTGCTGAATATGCACTTTCCGTTCGTAAAAACAGCCAATAGCGCGCCCTAAAGGTAAATAGCGGGCGATTGCGTGCAAAATCCGCCTTTTGATTGCTATTTAAAAGTGATTGGGGGTTTATTTTTTAAAATTAAACCTGACCTTTAACCACTGCATTCCATCGCTTCCCGCGATTTTCAGCGTGCTCCTGCCGCCTCTCATAGCCTCTGAGACCTAACTCAGCACTTCCTCTCACTCCTTCACCGTGAGGTCCTCCTAGGATAGTCCTCACACTGCTCAGTCCATCTTCTCAAAGACGATGACTCTTTGACTTCTCTTCTAGCCGTCTTTGGTATTATGTGACGATTACTTGTCTATTCATGTGTAGGATCTCTTTAAATCATCAAATATGTACTTTTAGATTTTCTAGATTTTTTTTAATTTTCTTTTAGTATTTACACATATCTAAACTAGACCGCTATTTGATTTTATGTTTTTTACTACTATTTTGTCGCAATAGCCCCAAATAGCCTTAGTGATGCCTCACCGCTACGCGATGCTATCCGCTATCGATAGCCTTGGTACGGATACAGGTACGGGACACGACAAATTTGTAAAAGTTAGGGTACGGGGACAATACTAAAACTCATGCAATGCAACCATAGTTCTGAGCTATATATGTAAATGACCCTTTTAAATTGTAGTTTTTATGGCTGAAAAGAATTCGACTCTCATCCAACAAGTTAAAAATGGATATGAAGTGGCAGGATATATATCCAAGAAGTGTATGACAAAGGTTTTAAATTAAACATGCATTGCATAATTGAGTACACGTCTGAATAATATATATATATATATTATATATATATATATATATATATATATATATATAGATATATATATAATATATATATATATATATATATATATATATATATATATATAAATTTAAAAGGATTTCCAAGAAGTACGGGTCTGAATAAATATATGCATTGCATAATTATGTAGTCTGAATAAATATATGCATAATTGTGTACTGTTCTGAATAAATATATGCATTGCATAATTGCGTACGGGTAGGGGTTCATGTTAGAAGTACCCAGGTAACTCACCATGATGAGAATGGATAATGAACTAGAGTCAGATTGCTTACAGTGAAACCTATACGCATACATGCATAAATTTGTTAAGGGATAGGTAAGGAGTTCCAGTAAGGTAGCAACTCTAAGAGGAAAGGGTTATTTTGAATGTCAGAGGGTCCTAATCCAACCGATTAACTACAAATTTACCTGATCCTCACATTAATCCTACACTAACAATAAGGGGCTCTTGCAGAAAGGACCAGCCAAGGCGGCCCAGCTCCCCAAATGTATGAATAATGAGCCAGATTATCTAGGAAAAAACTGTGTTTCAATTAGATTTTCAAATACTAAAGCATTTATTGCTGTAAATTAATGTTTTTTCTCAAATTGGGTTTATTATACATAAGCAACTAATACTGTAACATAAAATGCTCTAGTACTTGAATGTGTTTTGCAAAACAAGATAGTTCCATAGTTAAGACTTCTCTCTTCATATGGGTTGCCTGGATCATGGTTAAAAAGCCTAGAATTTTCAAAACAAGAAACGACGTGTGTTTAGCACCTACTATCAACTTAATGGTAATCCTCCATGGTTTGGCACCCAATCCTAGCAAGTTAGCAACTACGCTGTATTAGGTAATGCCATGAAACTAAGGTGGCCAGTCAGTGACTAGGTAGATCTGCCTTTCTCTACATGGTCATAGGTTCTAACTTCTAAGCTAATGCAACCAAGGGAAAAGCCTGCAAATTCCCTTGGACTAGGAAAACGTCTAGACATAGAGGTAAGAGGTAAAGTTATATGATTTTTGTAAGAAATAACCTAATTCATCTCTAATGGATGGCAAGCCAAAGATCTAAAATGGGATTGCATTCCCATAGATTAGTCAAAGAGAAAGTCTTTCCTCCTCTTTTTTTCTCTTTTCTTTTTATTAATTTTTTCTCCTTTCCATTAAAAGGCTCAAGTGCAACCCATGAAGTTTCATACTGAAGAATATAAAGCATATTGCTGCAATTCCATGTAGCCTTTCAAAGAAGACAGTTGGATGTAGTTATACATTTTTCAGACATACTGCTTTTAAACTCTTTTTTTACTTTATTATCATTATTATTATTTTTTTTTCTTTTTTTTTTTTTT